TATCTGGGGACTTAGTCCCTCCCTTCCTTAGGTCTCTCCTCCTAAGTTTCCTTCTTCCAGAGGCCTTCCCTTGCCCTGTGTATAAAACCACAGCTTCCTACCTTGGACATGGTAAAAGGGACTTTGCAGGAGTGATTAAGGATCTTGCGATGGGGAGATCATCCCAGCGTATCCAGATGGGCCCCATGAGGTCTTTGTAAGGATCTTTGTAAGAGGGCAGCATCAGGACCACAGACAGAAAGAGAAGATGTGACAGCAGAAGTAGAGGTTGCATGATTTGATTTGAAGATGGAGGAAGGGGTCCTGAGCCAAGACATGCAGGCAGCTTCTAAAAGCTGGAAAAGGCCAGGGAACAGTTCCTCACCGGGGCCTCTGGAAGGAGCCAGCCCTGCTAACACCTTGATTTGAGCCCTCTGAGACCCATTTTGGACTTCTGATCTGCAGAACTGAAGGTGGTAGATCTGCACTGTTTACAGCTCCTATGTTTGTGGTGATTTGTTGTAGCAGCAGTAGGAAACCGGACCCAGAGCCCCAAGACCTCAAATCGTAGGACTGTCTGTGACTCTTGTTGCTTTGTGAAATCTAGAAAGCTTCCATTTTCTTCAGGGTTTTCTTGATGACTCAGAAACAGAGGAAACCTTGTAGTACATGCGCTCTGATGTCCTTTGGTACCTGAGGCCAGCTTTTGACACTTAGTGAAATAAAAGCTGCATTGTGTATTCTGGGACGGCGTGGTGCTTAGATATGTTTCCAGATAGTTCAGTTGAGGGCAAGGGAAACAGTGAGAAGCAAAATTATCCCTGCCAGAAACAGTGAGATGCTGCTTCTCCACCCCTTTAAAAAGCCCCTCATCATTTTAAGTCTTGTGGATAATTCTCTTCAGTTTAAGGATGTAATTGGATGGTGGGTTTTGAAAGCAGCGTCTTTTTTATGGTCATTCAGGAGACTGAATATCAGAAGTCATAGCTCACAGCTGAGGGGAGGTGTTGGTAGTTTTACCTGGTAAGAACTGGGTCCAAACAAGGCAGGCAGAGCAGTGGGGAAAGTCACACTGTGGCCTGTTTCTAGTCATTTATTCATGGAGTTTGCCTGTTTTAATCTGGAGGGGATTAAGACATTTTTAAAAATAATTCATTCGTATAGTCTTTGCAGCCCCTGTGCCTTCTTTGTTTTTTCTGTATCTCACTTTATCCTCCTCTCTCTCTCACACGTTCCCCTGACCCTTTGCCTCCTGAAATGGCCTGGATTTGTGAAGATAACCTTAACATTTGAAACTTTCCCAGCTTTATTTACAAGAGATAATTTACTCCAGTGATCAGAAAATCCAAAAGGACTCTGTGCCCCAAATACCCTTTTATTTAACTGACCAGCGAGGAAAGCCTAGGAATGACCATAGAGAGAAACAACAGGACGGGCTGGCAGGGCTCATTTGCATCTGCACGTGTTATTTATTCAAAAACTGGAGAAGTGCTGAGTTGATGAGTTAGGAAAATATGGATGCCATTGTGGAAAGGGCGCCATGGACAGTCTCCACGTCCTGCAGTGTTCACTTGACACGAGGGAGGTGAGCACACTGGTATTTTGGTCACAGTGCCATCTCTTACTGAATGTTCTGTAGGGGGATGGGGGTAAAGGTTTCAATGGCATCTTGATTGGAACCCACCATGATCCACAAACTGTACATTTCAAAGGTAGTTAGGAGAGTTACTATTGTGAAGGGATTTTTGATGAACTTTTGTATTTTCTTGTAGTCTAAGTACCTGGCACCAATAAGATGAAATGGGGACTCATTTAATTTTTATTTTTTAAAAAAATTAAGAATAAGATAGATGTATAGCCAGCTAGAGAGATTTTTTGAGAATCTTTTGTTCTAAAAAAGGATGGTCCAGACTTTTACAGTCTTTTAGGTGTGTATTTTTCCCCTTGAAGGTCATTCAGTGGTTCTTCCCACCTTGCTATGCCCCTTGTGGTTGTCACAGAAGTGGACTGGACTGTGACATCTGTCCTCCAGTGATCTTTGGGTTGATTCAGTGTGGATTATTAGGTGTTCTTCCATTCATCATGATCCTGAGTGTGTCCCTTCTAAAAGAGAGACATACTTGGTTCAAGAGGGACCTTCCCTGGAGCAGATTTGTGAAGCAAAAAGTGAAACCATTATTACTGAGAACCTGGCCATTCTTTGATTCCACTTACTTTTAAGGTACAAAATCTTTTTTTTAAATTTTTTTCTTAAATTTGAGTGTAATCAGTCGATTTACAGTGTTGTGTTAATTTCTGGTGTACAGCATAGTGATTCATTTATACATATATACATTCCTTTTCATATTTTTAATTGTATATGAAAGAGTTCATTCAAATCTTTAACGTTTAAAAAGTTTCAGAAAGACTGAAAGAACTTTTCAAGATTTCAGCACGGTTGAGCTGCAGTTCAGTCAGTCATCCTCCCTCCTTCACCATCTGTCGAGTCATCCATCCTTTGATCCTTCTGTCTACCCCAAAACAGTTATTGGGCGCCTATAAATAAGAGCCAGTCCATGCTTGCAAAAGGTCATAATGCTCATTGGAAGGACAGCATTGCAGGCCTATGGACCACTGTAGAGACGTGGCAGGTGGAGGTGGCATGAGAGAGGGGAGTGCATATTGGCCTGGGCTTGGCCATGGAGAGTGGAGGAGAACAGGAAAAGGTCCTTGGAGTTCTTGGTACATCATACGAAAAAACAGCTATTTTCCAGGTGCTTAAGGTGTGGGAAGATTCAGTCCTGTCCGAGTTCTTTTTGCCTTTAAATGATGTAACAAACTTACAGATCATTGTCTCTCCATTCATTTTCTCAGTCACTCAACATTTCAGAGCTAAGGATGTCCAGAGGAGTTTGACATACATCCTCTACTCAAAGGAGAACTTGTCAGAATAACCAAAGAATGAATGTGTTAGAAGTACTAGGTCCAGATTTAATCCAATCCAAGAATAAGCCCTAAATCCTCCATAACCTTGAAGTTTGGTTAATTAAAATAACTAACTTTATCTCATTATCTTATGTAACTCATAACAACACTGTAAATTAGATTTTATTATCATTTTCATTTTTGTATATGAGTCAAAAGAGGTACAAGAAAGGGAAAGAGACATGTTCTAAATCCCACAGCAAGAAGGTGAACAAAGTGCAGATCAAAGCCATCTGTCTGTCTTTAAATCCTGGGTGGTTTTCATTGCATCACTTTACCTTGCTTACAGATAGCTGAATTCAGTAAATGACTTAGTAACTGGCCAGGGCAGTCTCTCCATTTAACCACCCTCACATAATGTCCTGGAAGGAGACCTAAATTTGAACATTTGTTTTGAATTAAAATAGTATCTTCAGGGCATCCCTAATTAAGAAGAGCAATATGTTAAATCTAGAATTTTAGACAGTTAGATCAACCCTAGGTATAACCAGTTGTGTCAACAACTGCTATGTTATAAATGAACAGGAACATCATTTCATAATCACAGGAAGAACACAAGTTTCCCTACTTCCCCAGTGGTAGTTTGACAACACATTGTTTTAAATTTTTTAAAATTTTATTGTGGTAAGAACACTTAATGTGAGGTCTACCCACTTAACTAATTTTTAAGCATACAGTACAATACTGTTAACTGTGGGCACAATGTTATGAAGTAGACCTCTAGAAATTATTCATTTTGCATCACTGGAGCTTTAAACTAATGAATTAGTAATTCCCCATTACCTTTTGATTTTACCCAGTACCTGTAAAGATCATAACCCCAAGAAAGCAAGATACAGATCAACTGGGTTTGATGAGAGTCCAGGTTTGTGAGATGTTTGGAGCATAGAATGACATTTCTTTTCTGCGGTTATTTGAGTGTTGGGATAATAACGCCAGCACAGAAACACAGTGCTGTCTGTAGTCAACAGAGACACACCTGACACCACCGGATACAAGCTGCATTTGGTGGGGACTTTGTAGGACTAGAGAAAAGAACTTTAAATAATAGCCTGTTTAAAATGCTTGCCTTTGGTCAGTCCTGCTTTCTAGTCATAACCTGACATCTGTGGAATTTATTTAAAAGCAGAATTCTCATTGTGTTTCAAACATCTGCAAGGAAATGTTCTATGGACATGGTACTAGAAATATTAATTATTCCTGTTAATATGTACCCAGAAGACAAACTTGTTCCTTCAGACAACAGGGCAGAGGCTGCCCATCCATAGTGCTGTAATTTTGATTAAGTAAGAGCTGGAATGTTTGAGGAACAGTATAACCGGTTTCTTGCCAGCTCTCTATTTCTGGAGTTTGTCTTATTTTCTCTTTTGTTTTTCTGCTGGATTCTTCTTTCTTTTCCAGTGCATCAGGATTCTTGCTGTATTGCTCATTTCTACTCACATCTTCACTGCTGGGAATTCCCTTCCTTCCTCACGCCCCTTAAGTCATTCCCATCTTCACCGCATTCCTCTGGGGGGATACATACTCCTCTAGTGTAGGAGTCATTATAGACATGGACAGATGGCTCCAGAATCTGGGTGGACTTCTCCCTTCTCTCGTGCTCAGGTAGGAGCTCAAGGAATACCTTAGGAAGAAATAAAAGAGTGAGTGAATATTGGAAGCAAGCAAAAAGAAAGAATATTTGCATCTGGTTACTTCTTTTAGAGCTTCCAAAGTTAGAGCCCATAGTTCATAGTCTAGCTGCACTGAGTTGCCACTTTGTGTCATTTGTCCTGGTGATTCTTAGGTAAACAATCACACACACACACAGACATACACACACACAAAGGATGAACATTCACCACCCTCTTGGTAGTGGTGAGATTATTGGTGGTTTTCATATTCTTTTTCTTTGAACTTTTCGGTGGTTTCATATTTTTCTACAATGAGAATGTTTTAGTTATATGTTAATGTTGTATTTTAAAATTACATTTTCTATTCTAAAATATTTTATAAAATTTAGAGTATTAATAATATTAGAGAAAAAAATTACCCAAACTCCTAACATCCCAAAATAGCCCACCGTTAATACATTAACTTTATTTACTTCTAGTGTTTTTTTCTCCAGTACATTGGTATATAGTTGTATCCATTCTGCAAAGGCACATTTTTATTTTGACTTTTTTCAAAAAACATTAATACCACTGTTTTCATGTTACATAATCTCCATAAATTTCACTTTCATTAAGCAGCTTACCAGCCCATCTCTTTAAATATGAATATCAATTATATAACTGACTATAGCATTTCCCAATGTGTAACAGCAACACTACAATGAACATTTATTAAGTGCTTACTCTGTGCTGGGCATAGTCCTAAGAATAAACTGATAAGAAAATGAACTTGACTTGGGTCATGATAGAGAGCAGAGTCTACAGAAAAGATTTACATTTACATTAACAACTGTTAGTCATGGTAAGAGCTTTGTCGTGGACATGCAGACTTACGAGAACATTTGAAGGAACATGGAATCCAGTTTTAGGCAAGGATCAGGGAGGGTTTCTGGGAGAAAGTGATCTTGAAGCTGAGACCTGATAAATGTATCACAACTAATCAGGCAGAAATGTGGGAAGAGTGTTCCAAGTCAGAGGGAACAGCATATATGGTAGTTCAGAGGACAGATACATGGTCTGTTGAAGGAACTGGATTTTTAGTTTGGTCAGAGAATGTTATGGGGAAGGGTAGAGGGGGAGAGAGAACAAGGAAGTGGATGAGGGAGCTGGTAGCAGGGGTGAGACAGGGGAAAGATCATGAAGGACTTTGTGTGCCAACTAAAGGAGTGAGGACTTTGTCATAAAGGCTTGGAAAAAATCCCTGAAGATTAGCTAATTGGAAAGACCATTCTGGCTCTAGTCCTTAAAGGCAAGGGGTACTATTTAGAGGGTTGGAACAAGTAATTGATGCAAGAGGTGTTGATCATTTACCTGAGTTTCCCTTTTTCATAATCATAATAACCCTTTGATGAAATTTTTATGCATAGCTATCTTTTTGTACTTGGTATTATTTTGTTAGAAAAGATTGAAATGAAAATGCCAGCTGACCTTACTATTACAGCATGTCAGGGCCACTTGAAGGCTGAGTTTGTTCTTGTTCCTACCAGCTAAGTCATTGCAGTAACATGTGGTAGAAGCCAGTGAGTGGGTACTTTCTTGAGGATGGCTCTCCAGAGTCTATGTGGTTCACACCAGATTTCATCCACATGTAGGCATTCCTCAAACCTACATCATTTTCCAGAAACTCAACTGCTACGCTAAACCCATTGCCAGGTCTGTGAGAGTCACTGTTAAAAAATCCAACGTGATTAGAATGATTGTACACACATTACAGCTGTGTTTCATGGACTCACCGGGCTGAAAATGTTCGCCTGAGGTCAACTACATCATTTCCCTTAAGGACAGTTCCTATTCTGCTTCAGATAAATCCTTTGCTATTTTTAAACTGCTTCAGGTTATAAGATTCCACTTTTCTGGCCAAAATTCTATTTATGGCATAGTGTAGACCCTCATCAGATCTCAAAGCGCATTCCGTGTAATTTTTGCTGACCTCCATTCTTCAGGAATAGAGAGTAAAGGCAGAGAGAAGTCAGATGGGAGGGTGTCAGAGGCAGGATTGGAGTCACACCCTGGCAGACTGCACGGTCTGCAGAACTCGGCCCCAGGCTGTGGGGCTTTGCCCAGGCCTCCCTGTGCTCTGTTGGTGGGGGAGTAGGAGCGTCCACTTTAGAGGCGTAACAAATGTAACCAGGGCAGAGCTCTGCCAGAGTGCAGCAGCGGGGATGGTGATGGAAAGCAGATGGAGACTCTGGCCTTCACTTGGTGAGAAGTCCTCTGACAGGATGGAGAATGTTTGCAAAATCTTCCATCTCTGTTGGGACATCTCGTAGTGCAGTTACAAGTCACTGGCCTCTGTTTGCCAATAGTTTAGTTTGGTTTTGATGAGACCTAATTACTCTGATTGTCTCTTAAAATTTTGTACATTTCCCAAATTTTGTTTGACTTCTGGGCTGGAGGTCTGGAATTCAAAAGCTAGCATTAGAACATGAGAAAAATAAATGAAAGCTTGCCTTAGGTGGGGCTAGTGGTTGAGTAAGATGCTTGTGGCTGTCTAGTTTGTGGTTCACTCCCCAAATTGTATAATCCTTGGCTTGATGTAACCTTAGGGTGTTATTTTATCTTTGCTTCTGCTTCTAGGTAGGGATTGAAGGTTCTTTCTCCTTAAATGTACTTCAGAAATTTGGTGGTCTATTCTGATGCAAGAGTTTAGGAAGGAAGTTTCCCACCCATTTGTTCTCTGGTTCATAGTTAGAGGGATAACCAGTCAGCCTGCATGCCATGGAGTTTTGGAACATAGCCAATTTTAAAGGTTCACACACTCAACAATTTGTAGTGTTCAGGGATGGATAGGAAACCAGAAATCATGTCCCTCCCCTGGGGGACTCCGCATTTTCTAGGCAAGACGAAGGTCTGTGACTCTAAATATAAACAGGTATCCTAGCACAGGTTCAAAAGCTGTGGATTAGCTCTTTGGGGAGAAAGGTGGTGAGAAATTAAATTAGGATGATTCCACACGCTAGCCTGAGAAGACTCTAAACCTACACCATCTTTATAAGTGATTTTGGTTGTTCTGTGATACTTCTATGTCCATAAGCATTGTCCCATCCTCTCACCCTGAAAACAACTTCCCCCTAATCTTCCTTCTTTCTTTCTTTCACACCACATCCTTTGTTTTACTGCCAGCTGTTAACAGAGCAGTCTGGACTTGTCATTCTTCCTCCCTCTCGCCTCGTCTCTTCCCTCCCCCCGCTTCTTCCCTCCTTGCACACTTCACCTTCCTTCATCAGCTCTAATGTACAGTTGCCTTTGAGATTGGCCATCCAGTATCCTCTGCACAGTCTTTGCCTTGTTGACTTCTTGTGATGATCACTCTGAATCCTTTCATATCTTAGTCGTGCTGCTCTCTTGAGCTCCTCCCACCCCTCCACCTGCTCCCTTTCTCTTCTCACATCACTTCAGTGCAGCCTTCCTCAAGATTGTGTCATTGAGCCCTTTCTTTCATTTTCAGCATTCTCATCCACTTTGGCATCTTTAACCATCTCTTCTGTCCAGATGCCCCCACTATCACCTCTCCAGCTCTGACCTCTCCATAAGCTCTAGAACTGCATTGCCATCTGTTGCTCTCGTTCAAAACCACTAGAAAGTTGATCTGTTTTGTGTATTGTGTGTCCTCCCTCGCTAGAAAGGAAGCTCTCCAGGGACATGATTGTATGTCTGTGTTACTGTTACACCCTCAGTGCCTAAACTCATGCCTGGCACACACCATTGGTGCCAGAAGTAAATGTTGAGCCACTGGAATGAATATCAGCTGCAAATTTATTGAGTGCATGCCTTGGAAAGAATGTCTCTAAGCACTTAAGGTTGATTACGTTTTAAATTAATTACCTCACACAAACATGACAAGATCCTATGAGATTGGCACATTATTAATCCTGTTTTATTTTATTTTATTTTAACTCTTTTAAAATTTTTATTTATTTATTTATTTTTTATTTTTGGGGGGGAGGATGGAATTAAGCTCTTACTCTTTTTAGAGGGGGTATTAGGGGTTGAACCCAGGACCTTGTGTATACTAAGCATGGGCTCTACCACTTGAGCTATACCCTCCCCCACCTAATTTTAACAATGAAGACTGAAACAAAAAGAAGGCAACTCTCTTGGTAAGGCTGGTGACAGACAGAATGGGCTTCAAACCCAGACAGGACGACCAAGTCCAGCTTTTAATCATCACCGGGTTCTGCTTGGAGGTATGTATCTGATGTCTGCCGTTTACTAGCTATATGAACTTGGCCAAGCCTTTCAAGTTATCTGAGCTTTTACTTTCTCATTTATTAAAAGGATGTCACCTCCAACTTTACAGTGTTATATTCCAACATGTGTTATCCATTGGCTTTGCCAGCAGTACAATTCAGCATCAGTGTTATTCCTCAAATAAGGACCATTAATATTTATGGGATACACAATGATAGGGTCTGTTAAGAGTTACAGAGCCACAAAACAAAAACAACAAACCATAAGTGTTGAAGTTATGTTGCCACTTTCAAAGGAACACACATCCACACTGCCTACCTACCTACCTTCTTGCCTTCCTCCTTCCTAACTCCCATCCATCTACTCACTGATCATCAAATATTTACTGTAGTCCTACCAGTGGTAGGCCTGGGACAGGGACAGGAGGACAAAGACAAGCCATTTGGTGCAGTGGAGGAGGTGAATGTCTGCTGAGACTGATGAAACAGCATGGTGTGGCAGGTGCTATACCACACAAGTGTGAACTGAGAGCTTTGGGGACCCCGAGGAGCTGAGGTCTCCCTGGTTGTGACGTTGAGGAAGGCTTGACACTTGATTTGGATGCTGAAGAATTAAGAGCTGTTTGAAGACCTCAGAGTTTCAAGAATGATAGAAAAATCAGAGACGTCCTGCTCATAGCTTACCTTCAACACTGTCATACACTTTTAATTAAATATAATCAAGAGATTGATCTATAGTCTAGACAAGAGAGAAGAACTTTGACTGGAGTTCTTGGCGGGGAAAGGCTGAAATAAGAGGGCCTTGAAAGGGAACTTGAAGGATTTGAGCAGCAGAGAGAATGGGAGACTTGATTCCTCTGTGCTTTCCTCTTTTGTCTAAGTTAAGTAACCCTGAGAAAACTAGTTAAGACATGGCTTATCTGGTGCTCCACCATGGGCCTCTTAAAATTGTTGCTTAGGTTCACCTGCCTTGGGTGCCAGAGAGGGCTTTGTAGGTCACTGTTAAGTCAGCAACCTGGAAAAGAAATGGGGAGGCATATTGCTCACCAGAATGCGAAAGAGGCTGGGAAAGGAGTCTCATACTTGGTTTGGAGACTTCAGGATAGCGAAGCAAGGGCACGTGTCTGTAGTTTTGCCACAGAGGGAAGAGAAGGAGTGTGAGGCTCTAGAAGCCTGTGGCTCTTTGGCTGTGGGTCTGAAGGAATCCAAGAAGACATGTCTAATCTACCATCTCTCTTTGCCAGAATCTAGGACCTTCCCCCTGGGAGCCTGTGGGAGGGGAAATGCAAGGGTTTCCATGTGTCTCTGCCTTTGTAGTAAGTTTACTTCTTTGCTGGAGGGAACAGTTGTGCATGTTTCTAAGAGACTGGTCTGGGGACCTTATGGTTTTCAAGGCTGACTGGTTTCTGCTCCCTTCTGGACTTCCAAAGCTCCGTTAAGTTTTAGGGCCAAGAGTTACACAAAGACAGCCCAGAGTTTGAATCTACTTTTTCATGACCTGTTTAAGTTCTGCCACAGGACATTCTGTCTAGAAGTGCTTTAGTTCATTTGTGGGAAAGGGAGATAAATCTGGGTTCTCTCAGTTTTTGAGAAGTGGCTTGAAATGGAGAAAAGAGCTCTCAGTTGGGAATAGAAATTTTGGATTCAAATTCTGGGGTTTGTGTCTGTGACTGAGAACGTATCCTGTCCCATACATTCTGGGCTTCAGTTTTGTTTTTGTTTATATTTTTGTTTTTGCAGATTGTGGGGATTACGCTGGCTATTTTATACCTCTTTCCATGTTAGCATTCTCACATCTTCTTTGGTCTGTGTGTCTGTGTACAAGTTTTTCTAAAAAGAAAGATTAAGGTTAATATCCATCCCATGCACATTGTCGTCACCATATGTGCGTGCATTCCTGACACAGCTATGGGCCTCACCCCTGCCATATGCTTCCCACACTTTTGTCAGCCAGGCTGTCCTTTATTGCACATCACAGCTCAGTGCACCACATGTCCCAGCCTGCGTGAGATGCGCTGACTCAGGCTGACTCCATGTCTTGTTCTCCAGGCTGTTTCTTGAGGACTCCTAAATCCAGCGGCAACCCCTACGCTCGCCTGGCTCCGTGCAAGGGAAGATGGGGGAGTGGGCTTCTAATCAGCTCACACATATTTTATAAAGTGGCCCCAAGAGGACTTTGTGAGGCTGCTGTTCTCTGCATCACATTGTAGTATTAAGCCTGGACTTGGGTGTCATGACGTAGTGGAGAAACCTCTCTAAACCAGGTCAGGTAAATACTGAGGCTCAGGAGAAGACTGACTACCTTTAACCATCTAGTGGTGGCATGACCTGAGGAGGAAGTATTAGCCAATATGGTGGTACTCTAGGAGGCAGAACTTGGATGGAAGCTTCAGAAAGGGAAGATACATGGCTCTCTGAGGGTAGTTCCCCAGTGACCCTTGCTGTGGAGTGGAATGGACTCCCTCATGAAATTAGTGTAGCTTTCCCTCTCCCTGTTGAGGTTCTCATGGATTTGTATTGCGTTTTTCAGGGATTTTAAGTGAGTCGTACCCTTGCTTTAAGTCTTTGGCTCTACTTATGTGTGGTTGTGGGCAAGTCATTTAACTTCTCTGAGCTTTATTGTCTTAATATTTAGAAGAAGATAATGTCTACCAGGTTACTTCTTTCATAAGGGTAGTTATGAGATTCAGAGATCATGTTGTAGAAAGTAATTTATGAACAATAAATTCTCAACCAATGGTTATAATTTGGGTCAAGGACCATTTGGAGGATGTGCTCAGCACTGTTACAAAAAAAAAAGTTACAAAAAAATCTCCATGTACAAACAATTTTGATGCACAAGGTCAGGGACTCACTTAGCAGATCCATGTGTCAGAGTTTAACAATTCCTGAGATGGAAATCAAGTAATCATAGTAATACTTCTACCTCCATGAAGGAGGCTACATATCTGTTTGTCCTAATCTAGCCCAGTCTCCCTGGTGATCAAACATGCATCCTGTTAGCTTGTAGTTAGGGAACGATTGACGTGGATAGGGTATGTGTGTGTATTTTTACTATCCACTCTTGCCTTTCTGTCTTTAGCAGTTACAATAAAGTCATTAAGCACTAGAAGATGGTAGAGGCACAGTGGGTATGCTGGGTCATAATGTTTCACTCACTAACGAGCTGGACAAGGGTAATCCCACTGCTGTGTATTCTGCTTGCCTGACTCCCTTCTGCAGGTTAATTTGGGTAACATGTCCTATTTTCTCTGGCTCAGATGGATTAGCTGGGAAAATAGAGATTGCGTCAACAATTTGATCTCCCTGGATACGATTTGGTATCCCTGTCTATTTCAGTCCCAGCCTGGGACACACCTACTTGGTGTATATTTTTAAACTAATTCCTCTCTAGATCATTCTTTCTAATCAGCCTTGTTCTTTCACATCTGTTTTATTAGCAGATGCCACAGGTAGGTGCTCCTTATCTTTGCAGTGTAAAGGGAAAGAGTTCTGAGCACTGTTATGCTTGCTTTTGCATTCACTGGGTAGTTCATTTATTTTTAAATAAATTTCTGAAGTGAATTATGACATAAATACAGAAAATGCATAAATCAGAGTGCACAACTTTATAAGTTACCATGAACTATCACTATCCAGATTAAAAAAAAAAAACAGAATATTGTTAGTACCCCAGCAGACCACTCTCATACCCTGTCTATCCTGAGCACTGGTCTTTCTTCCTCCTCCAGGGTAGTCAATGTTCAGATTTCTCACACCATAGATCGTTTTGCTTACTTTTGAATTTCATATAAACAGAAACATATAGTATATATTATTTTCTTCTTTTTGTTGTTCTCATTTGACATTATGTAGTCTTCCATAATACTGGAGTCCAGTATATTAATCTTGTCTTTATGATTAGTGCTTTTGGAGTCTTATTTAAGCAGTCTTTGCCTACTCAAAAGTTATGTTGGTATTCTCCTGTGTTGTCCTTCAGAAGTCTTATATTTTACTTTTACTCTTACAGCTATAATACATTTGACATTTATTTTCATATATGGTGTGAGGTAAAGGGTCCATAATTAATTTTTCATGAGGATATCTGAGAAGACCTCGCATTCTTCCCTGAAATGCTGTAAATCAAATGTCTACATGTATGTGAGCTTGTTTCTGGACTCTCTGATTCCATTCATTCATATACTTGCCTCTTCTGGGTCAGTACTACAGGTTTATGATAAGGCCTAGTATCTAGGCATGTATCAAGATTATATTGGCTATTGCATCTCTGTACGTATTTTAAAATCATTTTGTTTTATTCAGGAGAGAGAAGAGAGGAGAGCGGCAATAATGAAAAACAATTTAGAGGATATTTATTGGAATTGCTTTGAATCCATAGACTAATTTGTGGAAAATTGATGTTTACAATATGATATTTTCCAGTCCATGACCTTATACTTATTTAGGTCCAATTTAATTTATCTTAATAATATTTTATTGTGTGTATGTAGAGGTCTTGTTCATATTTCAGTGTACAAAATGTATTCCTAGATATATGATTAAATTTTTTTTTAATTTACTTTTCATTTTGTTATTTTATTTACTTATTTTTGGTGCTAGTATTTAGATGCAGAAAAAATATTTTATGTATTGAGCTTGAATCCAGCAGCCTTGGTAAATTGACTTACTCATTCTAAAAATTTGTTGAGGCTTTGGGTGTTTTATACAAAATCTCATCTCCTGTGAATAATTATTTCTTCCTTTCTAATCCTTATACCTATTTGTTTCTTACTTGTAGCATTGGTTAGGACCTCTAGTACAATGCTGAATAGAAATGGTCTCCAAAGATGTCTTTGTCTCATTTTTAACCTCAGCTTTTAGTTTCACTGACGATTTTGATAGTTACTCTTAATCAATTAGAAAAATATACTTCTATTCTTATTTTTTTAAGAGTTAACCTGGAGTGTTGAATTTCATCAAATATAACAAATTTATGGTGCACTTATTTAGATGATTGGTTGCTTTTTCTCCTTTATTTTGTTAATGAAATGAACTGTATTGATTTTTAATAGACTTCATTTTAGAGCAGTTTTAGGCTCATAACAAAATTGAGTAGAGAGAACAGAGAATCCTCATATATCCCAATACACATGTAGCCTCCCCAGTTATCAACATTCCTCACAAGAGTGGTACATTTGTTACAACTGATGGAACCTACATTGACACATCATTTTCACCCAAAGTCCATAGTTTACATTTCTGTTCACTCGGTCTTGGTGTTTTACCTCTTACGGGTTTTGACAAATGTATAATGACCTGTGTCTACCACTGTAGTATTATACAGACTAGTCTCCCGCCCTAAAAATTCTCTTTGCTTTACCTAGTCATCCTTCTTTCTCCTGAGTCCTGACAAATACTGATCTTCTCATTGTCTCTATAGTTTTGCCTTTTCCAGAATGTGATGTTGTTGGAATCATATAAAATGTAACCTTTTCTAAGAGGTATCTAATGGTATCTTGTAATTGTTTTAATGTTCAGTTGCCTGATGACATATGATGTTGAACATGTTTTCGTATGCTTATTTGCCATCTGTGTATCTTTTGGCAAGGTAAGGTGTCTGTTCAGGTCTTTCCCCCATTTTTAAAAATCAGATTGTTCTTTTTCTTGCTGTTGAGTTTTAAGGGTTCTTTGCATGTTTTCATTAACAATCGTTTGTCAGATGTGTCTTTTACAGATACTTCTCCCAGTCTGTGCTTGTCTTCTCATTCTTTTGATGAATTATATTGATTTTAAACATTACAGCAACTTGCAATCCTGGAATTTCCCCAAGTTGATTGTATTATACTAATACACATATACACACACATTTATGTACAAATAAAATTTACTTGCTAATATTATGTTTATGAATTTTGAATCTTTGTTTATGAGATAGATTGTCTTAAAATTTTTCTTTCTTATAATTCTTTTGTCAGATAGTAATATCAAATTTTACTAGCTTCAAAAAAGTTGGGAAATTCCTTTTTTTCTATTTTCTGGTAGACTTCATTTGAAATTGGTGTTTTTTCTTGAATTATTAGGAAAAATTCTTGGTTAAAATCATTTAAACCTAGGTTTGTCTTTGAGAGGAAGCTTTTCAATTACAGATTTAATTTATTTAAGATAATGACTTTTTTTTTATTATGTCTGTTTTGGTATTTTTTCCCAAAGATTTTTTAAAAATTGAATTTAAATATCAAGTTTATTTGCATAAAATTATTCATAGTATCTATTTTGGGGGCCATTATATTGATGTCCTTTTGATTTCTGATATTGTAATTTTCTCCCTTCTCTATGTTTCTCTTGGGAAGTCTCACCCATCCCCTCACCTTAGAATTTCTCATTTTAAGTCCTCTCAAAAAAAAAAAACGCACATTTTGGCTTTTTTTATTATTTTAGTGTACATTATATTATTTTTAATTTTTAACTGTTTTCTTCAGTTTGTTGAATTTTATTTGCTCTTCTTTGCTTTCTTGAGATGAATCACTTGATGAGTGATTTTCAGCTTTCTTCTTTTCTAACATGTGCACTTAAGGATACAGATGTCCCTCTAAGCATGGCTTTAGCTGTACCCTACACATTTTTTATGTCATATTTGCATAGTCATTCAGTTCAAGATCTCTAATTTCCATTGTGATTTTTGGTTTTGGCCCTGGAGTTGTTTGAAGTACATTGCTTAATTTCTAACCACTTAGGCATTCTGTTATTTTTTTGTAAATTATTTCTGGGTAATTTCATTCTGGCCAGAGAATATTTTCAGTCTTTTCAAATTTTTTGACACTTGCTTTATAGCCTGGCTTGTGTTTAATTTGAGTGAACATTTTGTGTTGTGCAGTGTCTGCAGTTTTTATGTGCAGTGTTCTTCCAGTATTCTTGGATATGTGTGTATGATCAAATTTCTTAATTGCACTGTTCAAATCTTTTATATAACTCCTGAATTTTTCTTTCACTTACTGAGAGGTCTGTTTAACTTTCCACTATGATTATGAAGTTGTCTTTTTTTCCCCTTTAGTTCTATCAGTTTTTGCTTTATGTGTAATGTTAGATTATTTGATACATATATAAATTTATAATTTTTGCACCTTCCTGAACAACTGACCTCTTTATCATTATAAAACTTTTTCTCTTTATTTTTAGTAAGGTCCCTTGCTTTTTAGTCTAATTTCCTTGGTATTTGTTTATGTACCCTTTCTCTTATGGTTAATAGTTTTATTATATACTTTTTTCATTACTTTTAAATTATTTGAGTCCTTATATTTAGGACTCAAACTAAATACTGGAAATCACTTTTTCAGATGCAGAATATGAGGCCTCAAGGGGTGAAGGGATGTGTTCAAGACAACTAGATCTTGGAGTCTCCTGACTCATAGGCTGGGAGAGATGCCTTGATTTCAAAGGAGGAGGAATTATTTGCCTCTCCAGACTCTTGGTCTCAAACCTTCAGGGTGACTGGGAGGACAGGTATGTGGAGTTGATAACCAGATGGGATCCTTTGTGATCCCAAGTCCTGGCCAACCTACTATACGAAATTGTCTTCTTGTCTTCAGTGACTACTTCCTCCATCACATCACTTTCTGCCATCACAGCTTTCTTTTCTGTTTCCTGAGACATTACTAATGACTTTGGATGGACATAGACTTTCTTATGAAAATGATTTTTGTCTCTGAAAATCTAAACGGCTCTCATATTTGAGAGTGTGGTCTGGTGGTACCATAAATAACAGTCCTACTTTGTATTAGTATGGGGCATTATTCTTCACAGTCTATGTTTACTTACATCATTGACCTGAATAACAGTTTAAAACAAGTAGGACTGAAATAGTAGCAATAACTGCCATTCACCAAGTGTGTTTTGTTTCCAAAGTGTCTTCACTTTCATTTCTTATCATTTAATTTTCATACTCCTTTGAAGTGGACACTATCACCACCCATTTTAAAGAAGGGCAATTAAGGCTCAGAAGGAAAATAAAAGATGTGGTCAGATTTTCAGTCCAGTTTGTTTATTAGACAATACCACAGTCCTTCAACAGTACCTTACTGTCTCTCCCAAGTGCTTTCTTCAGTATATAAAGAGAGATCCTTGGCTGAGGAGCTATGTCTAATATGATGGGTGGTTGGACAGAAGTAGGTTTCTAAGCCTCCTAAATCTTAGCCCAACTCTCTTTTTACCAACCATACAATTTTATCTCAATTAGCATCTCAACTTTTGGAAATGGGTACCTTGGGAACCTCCCTATTTCAAAAAGGCATTTGAGATGCTAGAGGCAGAGATGCAGTGCATTGAACACTCTAATCCAAAATGGCCAATCAGAAATTCCAATGTCCAAAGAGTTACCATTTCTACTGTACATGAATCACCATCAAATTTACTTCGTGTCAACATCATATGTTGCACTATTTAATCTCCAACTCAGAAAAAAAAGTCTGGGTCTCTTGCTGGCTTTGTTATCGATATCACTATTATGTTTGAACCATTAATATCAGAAATAGAGAAGTTTGAGTTACTAGAGTATTAACTAAGATAATTTGGACACCCTCAATTTCTTAATTTGCTCTTTCCTTCTTGTGGCTGAGCCAAACCACTCATATTATTAGACTCAGATAGTTTCTAGAGCTTGGACGGCTTTAGGTCTTTCTTCTTCTTTATTGAATTAGTTCTTTGTTGAGGGAGAGAGAATCTAGAAGCCAGCCTACTCTGGGTTGTAGTGATGCTTTGAATGGCTCCTTTACTCCTCTTTAAACGCTCATAAACCTCTCCTAAAGAGAACATCTGTCCAGGGCTTAATGCTCATATGCTGGCCCAAGCCTGTCCATGGAGTTTAAGTTGATTTTGACTTCATGACTCATCATAGACCCATCCACCCTGGTTTTCCTTCCAGGTCCATGTTAACTGTGGCAGGGCTGGAACACCCCAGGACTTGACCCAGATTCCTCTCCCTGTTGCTCTTTTCTTGCAAAATTGCCACTCAATCTCTTCATTACAGCCTCTTGATATACCTGGAGTGAATTGTGATTAAAAAAAAAAAAAGAAAGGCCAGAGGATACAGAGAAGATGATGATGGCCTAGCTGTGCATCTTAGCAGTACACGAAACTTCTAGCACCTGTCTGATGGTGAATGCTTAAATAACCTGATGTGTTTGAACAAAGAAACAACATTCAGGAGAGCTAAAACTTAGCAGGATAAGGCTCTGTTGGTGAGAGCAAAAGAAGGAAAAGTGGCAAGGATGTGAAAAGGGGTTAATTGAGGGTGAGGGGAAGTTTTACTCTGTTGCCAAATTGACCCATTTGTATCGCTTGACCGTCTTCCTTTGCATCATTCTTTCACTTGCTGGGAGTTGGACTGAAACTTGGTGTTAGGGAATAACCATGCCAATCACACACACACACACACATGCGCGCGCACGCTCACGCTCTTGCTCTCTCGCTCTCTCGCTCTCTCTCACACACACACAGCACGAGTGCCATCTCCCCTCTCTAAGATCAGAGGAATCCATTAACTAGTTCTTTCATTGTCTGCTGCAACACAAATGTAAAAATGCGAGGAGTTTTATAAAAAAAAAGTTATGGCCTCCAAGCTGAAGTTGCATTCTTTTTTCACAAAACCATGATGTCATGGACTTACCTCACCTTTAGTGCAGCCAAGCGAATAATGTGTACTGAGCTTTCGATCATGTACCATTATAATTAGCTCTGTCAGGTCTTCGCCCTGCAACCCTCATGCAGATAATATGATAATATGTCTTCATAACCAAGTGACCTTACATGCACAATATTTCTCCCCTTATGAAGATTGCATGTCAATAAAGTAATTGAGTCTCAGAGGCTGCAGCGAGGGAAGATTTAGATGATTGGACGTGCAGGGCAGTGATGTATGACCATTATTATTCCTCTTGTCAGGGAGGCGCGTACAAGCGAAGATGGCCAGAAGATGACAGGGATGACGGGCTGCGTTTCATTAAAAAAAATATTGCTATTAATCACTGCTCTATTCTTTTCAAAGTCACTGAGGAAAGAAACTCTTTTTTCATTTTAGCTCTCCGTGAGCATCCAAAATGGGAGCGTATCAGGAAGTTTCCAGCATCAGCCCCTCACATGATGTCTCTCTTCCATTGCAGAGAGGCTACATTAAGGTTTTAATGACAAGCCCAGCCGTGGGGGCGTGGGCAGGGGCCACCCAACTTCTCTTCATTCAGGCTCCTTAGATTTCCACATGCAGAAGGATGCCTGCTGAGATGGAAATGCACTTCCTCTCCTCTCCTTGAGAGAAGTGGGCTCCCAAGCTCTATAAACAGAAAGCAAATGTGAAAGAACCCAATCTGAGACAACTATTTTTACTTGAATTAATTTGTTTGGACAGTTTTAACACTTGGAACATTTATATTTCCATACTTTATAAAAGCAAACATGCTGTTTCTCTTGCGGTAAATTTGTCTTATGATATCATAACAGCTGGAAGCTTGTAGCCTGGTAGGATTTTGTTTCATATTTAAACAGCTTGAGAAATATGTCGGAAACGAGGTATATTTTTCCCTATGTCTGTGTGTTTCCCTATCTCTTCCTCTACGAGGCTACCC